TAATTATTCATTTAAGAGGAATGCTTGATGTGAATAATAGGACACCGAAAACGCTTTTCGAACCAAATAAAATGCCTTTTAATTGCCTTGCTCGCTATTTTCTTTCATCTTTGAATCTTTTAAATTTCTTTCACACTGAAGTGCTATTTTTTTGAACTGTATTACTTCTCTCATCATTTTGAACTATATTACCTCTTTCTCATCCTCTCTCTCTCCACCCCTCTCTCCCTCTTCACCCCTCTCTCCTCTTCACCCCTCTCTCCTCTCTTAGAATAGTAATAATTGTAATTCATACAATTTAAAATTTATCTCAGTGCTATAAAGTAATGGGAAGTTGTCGACGATATATTTGTGCACTTTTGGTTGCACAGTAAAATCCTAAATGGTCTTAAATGTGGTTTTACCAAGATGCAGTAATCAAAATGAATCCAGTAATCTCTTTGCACAGCTTGCAATGTAAACATAATGGCTAATTGGCTATAATCCCTTTTCAGTTACTTTTTTATATACCAATATTAGCCTATGCAATTTTTATCATAATGACTACAGTTGTTGGTGAAGTCCATCCTCTCATGTGAGGCTGTGATAGATTGTGAAAATGATGATATGCACAGCTGGTGCATCCAAAAAGTTATAGAAATTGTTCAAAGCTTTTGGATCTGTTTTGACATTTTTGAATACCTGAGATGATTAATTGTTAATTTATTCTTGTATGCGTGAATTGAATTTCTAAAGTAAACCCAAGGCAGTGAATGAACAGCCGTAATAACTCTTGATTTTTACCTACATGAGGGTTTAGCTTTGATTGGTTGATAGTGTTTCAAATTTTTGACAGCTTTGGAATGTTAAAGAAATTTACTGATGCAACATGAAAACATGGTGTTTGCATCGCTTGGAGGTTTTATGGCAATATATTAGATATCGACTGCAGTTTAATGTAATAAACATCATTTATAAGCACTCTTGCATGATTATGTGAAGTATTGTTTTCAAAGTGCAAAGTGCAAAGCTCAATGTGATGCATAAGGGTTATTTTTTGCATCGATGCACAAAATTCAAAGTCACTTTTATTAATTAGAGTGCTCATAAGTTTTATCTCAAGTATTTAAATTACATGAACTAATAATTTTCAAGAAATATATTGATACATTAAATAATAATTATAAAACATGTAATATTTAATAAATGACTTAAAAATTGATATAATATTAAAAAGAAATGTAATGTACACACCTAATTCGAAGGCAAACTTCAAAAGTGAACTTGCTAATTGAAAAATTCTAATAATTTTTATTCTGCATAAGAATTAACAAAACATTAATAGTTTAAAATTAGTGTGGTAGTTTTATGGAAAATTAAGAAACTTCAATATTGGATAAAAATATTTTTAGCTCATAGCAAAAACTAAATTTAAATGTAAAAAGTCTTAAAGTTTTGTAAACAAGCTTAATGTAATTCATTACTCATTATCACGCCTGTCATTCACATAATCTCTCTCCTTCAAGTAAAATTTCTTCATTGTCAAAATCATCATCATCTTCTTCTTCTTGAGTCTTCTTGAGTCAATCTCATCTTCTCATTCTTGAACAAGTACTTATGTGCATATTGGTTGAGATGATTTAGCATTCATTGTGGATGAACCTCCTCTTATTTTTGTCCTACTAAATCTACAGACGATCTTCGATCAGCTTCTCCTTATGCCTCTTCAATTTGTCTCCAAATTAGATTATAATCACCAAATTGATCTTCACTAGTATCTTTCATTTCCCAAGTTAAACCTTTCACAGCTTCCATCAATATAGCTAAACTGATTGGATTAATAGTATCTCTTAAATTGACTTTCTTTTCAAAGTTGATTGTACCTGATAAACATTAAATCTTTTAAATGCATTTGATCCTATTGATTTCTCTTTGTATGTGAACATATAGAAAAAGTCATAATGAAATGCATAAAATGTGTGAATTATTTAGTATATTCAAAATTAATAAATTATAAACTAGTTTGAAGACACCAATCAACATTGCAATCAATTCTAAAATCTTAATAGTCAAATTTTTTGTAAAGTTGAAGTTGACGCACCATGCATCTTGCACAAATTCAGGTGTATTAAAATTATGATATCACGTTTACTAAAAAAACATAAATCAAGGGAAAATGTTATAATTATATCAAAATTTCAATTAACTATATTTAGATATTTTTTGTCTCCATTTTAGATGACAAACTCAACTGTAAATATACGACCAGGATGGTTATAAATAGAGCGTTCTTGATTTATAGCCATTCTCTTCTTTGGGTCTTCCACTAACACATCCATAATTTCAAATAAAGCTTCCACCATTTATTCATTTCTTGCATTATAACCTTATTCTTATAAAAAAAAACTTCCGGTTAATATAATAGACAGCTTGATCCAATGGTTGTCGGTGTTGATGATATGAAATACTTGCTTTTACTTCTTTTCATCTCCTCCAAATGTACTACTGATTGCATCATTCAATTTGTCCATTGTATCATAAATATAACCCATAGCCGGCCTCTTGTCATGATCTACTAACCTCAATATATTCACTAATGGGCTCATAACCTTCAATGTATAGGGCACACCATTCCAAAATATAGTCTTGAGAATGATCTCCTTATCTGCCTTTCCTTTATAGTAAACACTAAACCAACGTTCAAGACAAACATACGCCTTATTATTATTATTTTTTGCTTCTATGCTTGCAATAGCTTTTACCATGCGATCAAAACTCTCCAACTTGACTGCATTGAAAGGGATGCCTTCTTGATAGAATACCTATCTATAATGTATATTTATTTTCTTTATTCCCTTATAAAAGGTCTCTTTCATTCTTATTTATCTTATGATTTTCCTTTCTGTTATCTCATTGTCAGTTTCTTGATATAGAAAAATGATCCATAGGACTTTTTATCCAAGGCACATTGCCGCTTCCTGTTCTATAACTTTATTCGAATGATCTCTTTCCACAATGCATTGATATTTAAATGTCTTATTCTTTAGTAATCTTTATCACCCTCTCATTATGTTCCATACACAAACTATGTTGTAATTTATTGTTCATTCTTGATAAATAACCGGCTCCTCTCTTATGTCCTAAGGTACCTTCTCGCATTTAGCCACACTCTTTTTAGATGCTCCATAAGGACCAATAAGATGCTCATTGGCTCAAGATATACCTCCATTTATCACCTTAAAACAATATACATATGTGGCATAGAGTATTTGACTTAGATTTTAACATCGTATACTTTCAAGATGCATATTTCATTCATGCATTTGGATAATCCATACTTAAATTTCATTACATATATGATTAAGATCATTAATTTGATTTGTACTTGTGGGTGGATTTGACCACGCATGTGGAAAGCCAATCCCATTAAACTTATGCATATAAAAATAATTAAAGATAATTATTTTATTAGAAATATATTCATGCTCTCAATTATATTATTAGCAAAAATTAAACTAATTCCTTTACTTGGAAGGAATAGGCCTCCATTGCCACTTTTGAATAAAATCAACCAAAAAAAGTAATAGTATGTCTAATATTTTTGCTGAAAAATGGAAAAATAATATTTTATTTAGTTAAAAAATTTCTCTCTTAATATTATTAAAAAATACTCATTATTATGGCTAAGCCCCTAAGCTTTGGAAAATATTGAAGCTATGATGAAGGTTGATGGTGAGAAGCTTGTGATGAAGTTGAGGGAGAGAAGCTTGAAGTTGCTGGTTGAAGGGTTGATGTTAAAGGCTTGTTTCACTAGGTAGGGTTGAGTGCTTAACATTTTTTAAATAAAAATTAGATTGGTTCAAACAAAAAGCGAGTGAACCAGACCTATCAAAAAGCCACTAAGCCTTAAGCTGTGATCCATAATGCGTTGCGCTTCTTGCAAGCCTCGTGCATTCTTTAGCATGCGATGTAAGGAAGCGGTCGTTTCATGCGCATGTCGCGCGAGTTAGATGCAAAGTGGGGAAGCCCCACATCGCAATTGCTCGATGGCAAAGCGTGCTTTTAATAAGCTTGATGTAATTCCTAATGAAAATGTGAGGCTAGACTAGTATTAAATAATCTTGATCTTTTGGCAGGCCGTGTGACCGCTTTGCCAACCTTTGATCACATTAGCACCATGCACGAACGTTAATTGAATGACATGAAATGGTTTGCTTGTTGCTGCCTATTTAGTGCAACAGACAAGTTCTTAGCGTGTTTGTGTAGGGCATGTTCTTATCTTTCCCATGCATCAGAATTGTCACTGCCAGTGGATTGTGTTAGCCATCTACTTCAGGCTAGGCGGCATAGGCGTACACATAACATATTCTTCTTTCCCAATTTTGCTCCTAAACCCTAATTCCTGCATGAGTTGGACCATCAGTGAAGAGCCAACTTCATTGAGGAATCCTATGAGGTTCCTTAATCCTTGATCATAAAGACCTCTCATGGCAATCTTAGTAAGCAAACAGCTAGTTTTTAACAAGGAACCAATGCCAACAAATCCAACTCAACAAATCCATCTCTTACATGCTTTTCGTGTTAGAGTATGTTTGGTGACATCTGATAAGTGATATATCAGAGTTTTGTGTATGCAAATGCTGTTTGGGAGTTTTTTTTTTTTAATTACTTTTCAGTTTCTTTTGTGTTGATCTTATTTTTTAACTTCCAAAGTACAAACTTCACTAATTTTTCAGACTAGAAATACAAAAATGCCTTTTATCTGCTTTATATATGAAGAAGAAAAGCGATGTTTCTAAATGAAATTGCTGAACCACTGAGTTTGATTTGCTGTTTTACTTGAGTAAGCTTGGTGTGGTATCACAACTGAAATATCTAGATTTTATTCATTAGCACAAAAGAATTATTAAACTATAGTTGTAAATATTAGCCTTTGTACAAATAGGTCCTACAAAAATTACATTTAGCTTTCTCCATTCAATTGCTTTTATTAAAACTACATTTATTTATTCTATCTTCAGAAAATCGTACATTGGCAACATTTCCCTCTTCTCTGAGATTGAACAACATCTTCTACAGGTACAAAAGTAATCCAATTATTATAGTTTAACTGCTGGGATGATTTGGTGGTTCATTTTTTAATTTATACTGCTATATCCTCTTATGAAATATGAGATAGACAACATAATTATAATAGGATATTCTTATTAAATCAGGTGCATTTTATTTCGATTCAATTTCTTGTTGTTGATGATGCTATCTGAAATTGATATTTCAGCAGATATCCTCGCAAATATTTTCTTTTGGTTTAACTCTGTGTTATAGTCTTCTAATATTAATGCTGATCTTCCTTTTCAAGGTAACCTGTAATTCAGAGCAATATTTTTTTTTTTCATCTTAAGTGTTTGGATGGTAGGTTTGTGTGATTTCTTAAATTATTTGCTAGCTTGTTCATTCTGATAAAATAGTAGGTTTGTGGAAACAGCAAGCATCCACCTCACTTTCTTTTAAATAAGCATTTTCTTTGTCAATTCACAAACAATGGTTAACGAAGCCTGGCATGCCAGCTGAAAATACAGAAGTTGATGTTTAACTGTTGCTGCAGCGAGAACAATCTGAATTCAGATGCTGTTTTTTTGTGCTTTTGCATATTTCTACATATGTTGTAATCAGATTGCAGTGGCATTTTCTCAGCATCATTTCTACTGATTGGGACTGAGTCTTGGCGTGGGCTTTTGGACAACTGAATACGTTTGAAGAGGCTTGGTCTTTTGGAAGGTGGGGAATGGCAGCTTTCTGTTTTCCTGCAATATAGAGAATGATAGTCTTGGTGTTGCAGGAATCAGGAACAGTTTGGCAGTAGCATAGGTATAGGGTGAGGATTGTTTGCTAGGATCTTGAGGGTTGGAAGAGAAGACAATAATGCAGAATCATGGAAGCAAAACTGGAGTGCATAGGATTGAAGGAGAATGAAGAAAGGCTTAAATTTAATAGATTAGGCATCAACTAAATAGAAGTTCAACAAGAGTTGTAGGCTTTATAGGTTGAATCTCATAATATCAAATTAACTCATGTTTTTTGTTGTCATTACATATGGTAGCACCATTATCACAAGTAAAAATCATAGATTGTGTAACAAGAAAATCAAATTCTGATGTGAAAACCTTGAACCTATATCATTTTGATGCAGAATGGGCTGTAACTCTATATTCAACCTCGTTTCTGTTGACCACAACACACTAACCTAACTACCCACGATCCTCCCCCACTCATGGCACTAAAAGACTCGACCGAATCTCCCTCTTGTTTCCTTTTTGACATGACCAAGTAGAAACGGAACTCCCTCTCATTTTCTATGTTGATTTGCATGCATGAACGGCATGCTCACCCCTATCCGTTGATCTCTCTATGCTGCACGCAGAAGCCGAATCCCCCTCACTCTTCTCTCATCCCTCTATGCTCGCAGGTGACTCAACCAAACCCAATGCTTGTGCCTGATCCCAGGTCCATCCGCTGTTGCCGCTTCCGACTCCAACTCTCGCATGTGAGACCCCAAGTGCTCGCGAGCCCTCACGCTCGGCTAACCCAGCCTTCGACGAATCCGATCCGCTTGACCGACCATAGGGGCTTGCGCCTATGGGAATTTCAAAATTCTAAAAATCCTAAAAATTCAAAATCCAGCCTTAATTGAAAGTGCTCACTCATTATCAGGAGGGGTAATTAACCATAGGGGCTTGCGCCTATAGGAAACCAGACCCCATATCATAAAGTCCTCAAAAAATATGGGTGAAATCTCTGGGTAATGTCTTATCTAAAATCTAATCCGCCTTTTGAAAATTTATCACGGAACCTAACTCGTTAACTCTCCTCATCAACACAAAAAGAAGCGCGGAGAGGCCGAGATGTGAATTTTCGGTGCCCACAAGCATATTGGGGAAAGAAAAAAATACAAGTAAAGGTGGGGAAGGGGGGTGGGTCTATGACTTCTAGAGTTCGGTTTTATTCATTTGAGAACCTGTCTTATTATACTAGGGAATGATTTCAACATGCCAAGTATAACGTAATGAACCTGCATTACTCAATATATATGGACCTCCCTATTATGTAATTTCCTACACAAGTAGTACATACTTCATAGCCTTTTATTGCAATTATTTATATTCAATTGGTTGATATTTGAACTTTTTTATTCTCTTGACTTAACCTACTTATGGAAGATTATTGCTAACTTGTTTATTGTTGATTACTGTTTGTTAGTTTAGTGACTTCGATTAACATTGGGATAATATCTATTAGTAACTAATTATAGTTCAGTCAAGGTTTGAGTTTTATAACTATTTTTTTTTCTAGAACTTTTTGTCAGTTTTCTCTGTCACACAATTTGCCTTTTTGGTTCTGCTGGAAGTTGTGGCAATAGCTCCTTGTGATGCTTTGCAAGCTTTCTAAATTTCTTTGATTGTCTCATGCATTTTGGTTCATCTCGAAAGTCTTGTTTGAGGACTTATCTTTTCTTCATGGAAAATGTTATGTCAACTTCTTCTTCTCTTTTATAAGCAACTTTATTCTTGATCATTCTTTCAAATAATATCTTATGACTAGATAATGAATTGAGTGCACAAATGAAAATTGTAGTAAATTTTCATATTACATTGTAAAAGTAAAATATAACAATCTAGGATAATAGTATGATAGTTTAAAATATTCTCTTTGATGGTTAAAGAGACGAGAGATCCAAGATCTGCTTTCTTTTGACACCCACCTTGCTTGTAGTTGAGTGAATGAGAGGACGTGTCAATAAATTTTGTTTCTTATTTTTTCCCCACCTGAAGAGCATGATTTGAAATCTCTTGTCAATGTGAGCGTAGTAATGGCAGGCTAATGTCACAATATGAAGGTTTCTTAGAAATAGTGGCATCACCATCCTCAACAATAATGGGATCAAGGGCTAGCTTTGACGGTGTGTTTGAAGCAATGGTTTTAGATTCAAAAGAGATTATGCTATTTTCCATATGATTTAGCACATGAAGGGAATGTTGTAAAGCCTCTAGTTCTATTATGAAATCTTGTGGTTATTTTGAATTTTATGTACATGCTTGAACTGAGGGAGAGGGAATATCCCCAACAAGTGGTGAGATATTATGAGCATTAGTGTGCTCCCCATGTACCTGACTGCAAGGATGGATGACAGATGATTTTCTTAGTTTTGGATGAGCTTTGTAGTAATATGAGTAATTTTGTCCAAAAACTTTGTAAGTTGTGCAATAGGAAGGAATACTTTTAAAATACAACTTTCTACCAAGAACCACAAGAGGAGCCAACCACACATGACTTTCTAAAGGCTTAGTAACATCTAATTCAACTAGAAGAATATGGTCTAGTATGGAGAGCGGTGGTATCATCTACTTGTAGAGGTATGCCAAAGATGATGAATTAGTCTGTGCGGACACTGGATTGGGAGAACCATCCGGTTTGTCTCTATGAACAATAAAAGCGCAACTCACTACGTTTTTATTGTTCATACTTTGCTTTTGATATTTACAGAGACAAAACCAAACAATTCTTCTCGTCAGGTGTCTGCACACAATAATTTCTCTGCCAAAGATAGAGCCCACAAATTAACAGTAGATTGATTAAAATATCAGACCCTAAGCCTGGGAAAAGATATCCATATTGAAGTGATAGGAGGTTCCATAAATGAGTTTAAGAGAGGAAACTATTTTAACATTTGCATCGCTGAACAATTCAAATAATAGGAATGCTTTGACAACAATCTAGAGTAATTTGCTTCAATAGATTGTTTGGCAATGATATGACGATGATCCAATAGACCAATTGAATATTCTCTAACCAAATGTAAATTAGATAGGAATGAAAGTATAATTTCTAGATTAGGACGTCTCATTGAGAACTTCTCTCCTATAGAGAAGAAAATGCGCTAAGCTAATTCAAAGATCTATGCTTGAGTAAAGATGAGAATTGGGTTATCTTGATATATGGAGGGTTGTTTATCCTCCCCGGTCACTGTCCCACATGCTCATTTTTGCACATAAAGTACTTGCTTCGTATGCCATCTTTGTCTGAAATCGCTACTACTGCAACTCCTGCTTTGCCCACCCATGCTGTTCATGACCACTTACCTCTCACTCTCCCATGCCTCTCACCGTTATTGACCACACATCGTTTCATTCCTAGTTTTATGCATATTCAACACCTACACACCCCAAGCCCACAACTCTTGTGAACCTTCTCCAAATAGTAACTTATCTTCTTCTTTTCATATGCATTTATTGATTCACCTACAACACTTGCAATTTCTCCATTGAAGCTTGTCGTCTATGACCTTTGTTAGCCAAGTTTGCTTCCTTGCTGGCTAAGATAGTGGCAATTGTAGCTATTCATAGATTCACTTAGCTGCCAAGCCTCTTTGCCTGGTTTCTTCTGTTCACCATAGAGATTACAAGTGCCAACCTCATTGTACAAGTAAATTTGAACCTCTTGCAAAAAAATTCATTATAAGGGAGCTTTTGTCTCTCTAATTTAATGCCATCATATTATTATAAATAAAAGGAATCACTATATTATGAAGACCAATACTATCTTGCACCTCATGAAGGTTGGATTTGTGGATGTCAATCTTATCCATTTAATTCTCCTCACCCATACAGATGTTATGTTGAGCATGATTCCTATGACTAATTTATGATGATGCATCTTATGGAAATACAAATCATTCGATGAGTTCTGTCCTATGACAAATCAACTCAAATATAAGTCTTCACCACATTACAATACTAGTTTCATCCGCTCATTTTCAACTACATCATCTATTCCCTCTTGCAATGATAATGGTCTTTATGATTAAATTCGTGATCATAAACCGCTTTCTAATGATCAATTTTATGATGATAATCCTTATGAAAATATTTGTGATGACACAACTTTTCGTGATGATGAACTGGACCTTGAAGGTAATCACGAGATATAATTGTTTTGTTTTTCTTTATTTGAGCTTGATTTTAAGATATTGTTAGAGGATAAGCCACATCTTATATATGATGAAGTACGTAAGCCTAACAGTGATATTCAACATGAGACAATATTTCCTATAGCTTTTGTTCACTTGTCATTATTTTAGTAGACATGTTACTTTAAATGATCACAATTAGTTTCAGTTGTACCTACTAGATATTGAATTTATAATGACATTGCCACCTTCGTCATCTATTGATCCTCATTGCAAAGATTTTATATCTGTGAAGTTTTGGAGCTACCTAATGCCCAAGTCTCCAAATTTTCGCATGTTCTTGAAGCTTATTCCTCATGCTGATCCTTGCAATGCATTCATGCTCCTTCCATTTGATGATCCATGGCCTTTATCAAGCTCTTCAAGATAAGAGTTTTGACTATTTGAATTAATTAATGTAGTACAAATCAAATAGTTTAGCCCAAAAGATGTTGATTTTCATAGCAAATCAAAAAGAGTTAAATTGGGCTACAACAGACTTGAATTGGACAAATTTATATTGCCACCATTGTTACCTATTCCACTATTGATGCACATAGCAATGATTTTATTAGTGTATAAAGTTTGGAGCCACCCAACACGTAAGCCTCCAAATTTCTGTGTTCTTTGAAATTATTCCTCATTTTCCTCTTTGCAATACATGAATGTTTCTTCCAGCAGATGATCTAGTGATGCCACTTCCTACACGCCTCCATCGTCTTGCTTAATTGAAGATTTCTTGGTTTGTCAGCTGGATAGATGTAGTACAAATAAGTTAGTTTAGCCTAGAAATGATTGAATTTTCATAGCTATCCAAAAGGAGTTGAATCAGATTACAATGGAGCTAAATTAGATAAAATTTCACGCCTTTTATCCCCCTTTCTATTTCGGGACAAACTTTATTATTTTTGTTCATTGGATTTATTTATTACTTTTTAATTATCTTCTCGGATAAAGTTAGATTCAAATTTGAATATTTTATTTAAGATAATATTAAATTTGAATTCAAATTGTTTGGCCTTATCCTTGTAATCATATTTCTATATATAGAAACCTGGGGCTTGTAATAGGTTGATTGGCGAACCTATTTTTTTGAGGCCAATTAAGTGTTCTTTCTTCTAGTCCAAGTTGGATTGAAGTTTTGTATGTGGAATTTGTCCATCTTATCTCTCCATTTGATAAGACTAGTGGTTCTGATGGTGATTGCTTTATTTTTACAATTTCCTGTTCTTTCTTTGAAATATTACTTGCTATTGTGAAAATCATGGCTTATTGTTGAATTTGTGCAGCGCTATTCTCATCTAGACTTCATCAGTAGTAACATCTTCTGTTGTATCTTCTCGTTTTCTCTTTTTATTCATATTTTTTGCGACATGAAATACTTGTGCATGCATCATCTTCTCACCATTACATTACTTCTTACCATTTGCTGTAGGGTCATAACATAATTTTGTTCTCCAACCATCAAACGGAAGCAGATCCAGCAGTAATTGCCTTGTTGCTTGAAAGGACAAATCCTCAAATTGCTGAGTCAATGGTAGCCCGAGTATCTTGAATTTTTGAAATAGTTTGTCAATTGCTAATAAAAGAATGGGGGATTTACACTTTGTAATTATATATCTGAATTCTAACTTTTTATATTTACTTATATAATCTTTAAACGACATCAAAATATCACTAATATTTATACATCCTAACCGAGATACATCTTTCCATATATCATCTTTTAATGTCTTTTAAATACTAAAATGTTATATAAGTAAACTTAAATTTTTTGGTGTTAGATATATAATTATATAAGGATTTTGTGCTGTGTTAATCCGCCTAAAGAAATTATGTGTGGTTATTATGGATGACTTGTCTGTTCAGGTGTTTGTTGCTGGGGATAGAGTTGTTACTGATCCACTTTGTAAGCCATTCAGTATGGGAAGGTACCTTATATCGGTTCTTGTATGTTTTAAGTTATGACCTTGATTTGTCATTGATTGTGTGTTGAATATTTGATAATCTAGTGCGATCCTTTCCTACCAGAAACCTACTGTGTGTATATTCTAAGAAACACTTGTTTGATGATCCTGAGCTTGTTGATCTGAAAAAAAAAGCAAATACCCGAAGTCTCAAAGAATTGTCAGCTCTTTTTAAGTGAGTCTCTCCAGAACATTTCATCTTCATTAAGATTCTCGCTATGCTTTCTCACATTTGATTCTGGAAATGCAAGGAGTGGATCACAGATAATTTGGATAGCACCAAGTGGTGGAAGAGATCGGCCAGATCCTGAAACAGGGGAATGGTTTCCTGTAAGCTGTATTGCATTGAACTTTCTCTTTTGATTATGGTCTTCGATTTTTTATACGGATATCTCTATGCCTAATGCTTTATGAGCTCAAGCGGAAACCCTTTAATCTAGATGTTTTGTTTACCTTATGATGCAGTAGGCACTCTTATACTGTGGTGTTGATTGAGCTTCTACACTTTCAGTTTCCGTTACCTATGTTTCATTATGCATTTTTTGCTTCATGCAAGTGATTTTAAGTCAAATCTTCTATTCCTGCTCTTATTTTATTAATTATGTGCCAGTGTGCCTTCTATGAACTACTTTTGTATGCTACCAAGTATCTGAAATTCTGAATGGATGGATCTATATGATTTTATGCTGTGATGTTTATTTTAACTCCCTCCAGAGTTCTATTTGCTGAATCACATATTTGGTTTGTATGCTGGTTCATGTAGTTGCTTCTAATATTTGATAAGTAAACTAAACACGAACTTCATTATCATTAGCCTTATTCCAATTATTAAGTATGACTAATAATTTCTTCTACGTTAATTTGTGGTGAAGGCTACATGAGGTGTCAACATTACGTAGCATAGATATTTCGGCACAAGTTCTAGCTGTGCTACTTTGTTCTACCTCTTTTCCTTCTCGCGTTTTCAGGATTGGAATATCGATTTTGTTATTTTACGAAGTTTTTTTTTTCTTTGTGGAGGTTGTTTAGGTCATTAAACAAAGTATACATTTTAGATATTTGTGGTCTATTGTTCAAAGTGATGGTGAAATGGATGTGGATATTATTAGTAGAATTCTAGTTGGATGGTTAAAGTAAAGTTATACATCGTGCCTATTGTGTGATAGAAAGGTAACCTTCAAACTTAAGGAAAAATTCTATAAGAGGGTGGTGAGACCGTTTTATGGTGCAGAATGTTGGCCATTAAAAAAGAAACGTAAAATTAAGTGTTGCAGTGATGAGGATGCTGATAGAAAACAGCCAACAATAATGCATATTTTTGCTGAATTTCAGCAATAGAGCGGATTTTTCAAGATTTGTAGAGAAATAAGAGGAATAATCATTTCAATTCTAATAATAGAAGAATAAAACAACAAACTGTTATAAGAATATTCAATTCGAGAGGAAGATTCAATTCTTCAAATCTCTAGCCAAAGCCTAAAGCCCCAAAGCCTAAAGCCCCAAAGCAAATCCTAGATCTCAAATTCAGCCTCCAAATTCAAGCTAACCCTAACCCTAACAAGAAGAAAGTAATTAAAGCAAAAGAAAAATTACATAATCTCTAAACAACCCTTAATTTAAATTTTCCCTCTAATACAAAGCTTAATTAGTGAGTAGGCCCCGCTATACTAGCGCCGTCTCTCTCTCTCTCCCTGGTTCCACCCCCATTGGCCCGACATTTATAGCATTAAACCGATCCAGGGTGGACCGGTTCAGTCGGCCCTTGGGCCAGCCTAATAGATGCTCAGGTGGATGAGTGGCTTACTCTTAGAGACAGAATGCCAAACGGCTTGAGTGACTCCAGTGGCAGATAAAATTAGAGTCTCCTTAGATTGTTTGGTCACATAAAACGTTGACCTGTCGATGCTTGGTGAGGGCTCCGAAAATTTGTGCCCCAGCCTCTCTGCTGACCCCTTTCTTTCTTTTTCGGGTCGTCGAGAAGAGTTTTAACATTTATGTTCCGAGAGAAATTTTCAGAAGGTAGATTGGATTGTGAAGAAGACATCACTTAGAGATTGCGCTCTCATTTTGCAAGGATTTTATGATTTGAGCTTAGGTTTCCTATAGGCGCAAGCCTCTATAGTTAATTACCCCTCTCGATAGCGAGAGAGAACTTTCGATTAAGGCTAGTCTTCAAACAGATACGTGGTATCCATATATACATTGCATATGGCGTATAATAACAACATGAGTTGGTATTTGGAAACTTAATATTTAGAAAATTCACCACCTTGCACTTAAAGAGGATGGTGGGGGGATGATGGTGAGCCCGATTAAGATCCCATGGTTCTGTCTTTTGAGGCGATTATGGCATCTATTATACTTAGGGGTGTCAATTTTTGACACAACTCGAAACGCGACCCGAATTTGAAACGGGTCGGGTTCGTGTTCAACAAATCAACCCATTTTAAAAATCGGGTAGGGTTTGGCTTGACCTAGCAACCCGAAATTGATCCGAAAGTGACACGAAAACTCATATTTGACCCGAAAACCCGAGATTGACCCATTTTTGACCCAAAAATCGAAGATTGACCCGATTTTGACCCGAACACTAGCAAATTTTGGTCAACCCTGGGTCATTCGTGTCGGGTCGGGTTGACCCAGACTCAAATCGGGTCGGGTTCGGGTCCGAAAATCTGACCCGTTTTTTAAAAATTAGTTGGGTTTGGGTTGACCCGAATAGTGCCGGGTCAGTTCCGGTTCGAACCCGACCCGTTGACCCGAATTGACACCCTTAATTCTACTTAGTCAGAGGAGGTAGTCGACTCAACCTAATAGAAGGATCCTTTTCGGTAGCCACGGGTTGCTTCGCCCAAGGGTACCTTGTAGACCTGGGATCTATGATGCACGAATACGGACACGACGACACGGACACGACACGGACACGGGACACGGCTTTTTTTGAAAATATAGGACACGGGTACGGCAATACATATATATATATATATTAATGTAATATCATATTAAAAATAACAAACAATAATAAATGAATGACATGATAACTTGTCTAGCTTATAATATAAAATATTTAGACGTGTCTGACACGTGTCGGAGGAGTGTCGGACGAGTGTCGTGTCGGACACGGTGTCAGACACTGCACGCCTCTTTGAGGAGAAGTGTCGGTGCATCATAGCCTGGGATGCATATTTGTCTACTGGAACACATTTGAATCCACATTAGCTAACAGATGGCTTTGTGTCCTATGGATTATATCTTATTGATTCACATCTCAAGGATTTGAAGCATTGAGAACATGCGGGCTCTGGCCATGACCGTAATTTAGTGGTGCCATTTCGCAGCTAAATCACATGTTCGAGGACACGTGCCACTTCTTTACTGGCAAGAAATGGATTGATAATGTATTTTAGTGATATTCTTGACCAGACATTAGCTCTTTGTGAGTTGAAGTGATTTTTAATTTGCCCACCCCAACAAACTATTGCGGAGGGTGAACAAATATTTTGGTTCAAGTGTTTGACGATTTATTTTAATTTAAAATATTTTAAATTTTAGTAATTTTGAAAATTTAAAATTTTATGGGCATTTTGGAGGCATTTTTAGATATTTGGGGTCCCCTCAAGTTGAGATTTTTTGTCAACACGGCCATCATCGAGGTGTTTATGGGCACTTTCTCATTTCGTCGGTTGAACCTTGTCGACTCTGTCAACTTGATGACAAAAGTTCGGGTTCGTCGTCGGTTTTATGCCTTTGTCATTTAATTTTCTTTATCGAGGGCCTTGAAGGCTTAATATGAATGCATAAAATAAATATTATGATTGACGCTGTGACCGTATAATTTTTTGATAGTCTGAGTTGTGTCGACTCCTATCTACCCACATAGAAGGATCGGACTCGATCTTAGATTCATTACTCGACCCGCGCAGCATCCTCAAATGTCACATGTATACTCATAATACGCTTGTCGGGGCTCATGCGGGTATAAGTATTTGCATGCATTTTGAATAATGTGTTTACATAATGTATTTGCATAGTGGTGGTATGTTTACAATATAATGAATGTATGTGTGTACATATATTGAAATTTTGCATTTTTTGAATACTGACTTAATGCGATGACATATGATATACATCTATAATGCAGCTATGCTTCGCTTATTTGCTTTTTATAATGTGCTTGCATAATGATAATGCGTGCATGATATATTTGTGCTTGGCATAGCCTGTTGCTTATGCACAACACACCTTACACGTTGGATATCGTAATTCCGTGATGCATTTTGCTTATTGCAACATGTATATGCATAATGCATTTTGCAATCTAAATGGCGTATTTGTATGATGCACCCTGCACATTGCAATTATATGCAATCTATGAGTGTGTCAGCACGTGTTTCGATGCATGGGGGTATTTTTGTATTGTTTAACGCCGACAAGTGCACAAGGTTCATTTTATAATTTGTAAATGTCTTCTGTCCGCTTGTATGAGTGTTGCGGATCCGGTGACGCTTTTACTGTGTTTCATCTTTTGCGAGCCATAATTTTCTTCAGTATTCGGCCCGTAAGGGTGTACTTCAGCCTGCAAACAAGCCTAGTTTACCAATGGCCCGCAGTATTTACTACTAATTCCCTTCTTCTATTTAGAGGTGAATTGTAATGTTGGGCTACGGGTCATTTGTTACTTTTTGTAGGTTGATTGTGTGCATTAACGAATCTCATGCGGTTCTTCGTAGATGCTTGCATTTACCACAAACTTGCTTCCTTTGCCTGTGGGAATTGCATCACACTTGTTGTAATCTTCTTGTTCATGCCTTCCACCATCATATGCAGACAAATTGCACTGAATTCAGATCTTCTAGTGTTGTTTGTAGACAACACGTTGTGTGCACTTCCATGTTTACAGGGAACCTGTCATCCTTGCCATACATCTATTGTTGCTACTTATGAGGGATTGGTGCATTCATATGAATGCTTGATTGGCGTTGACTATGAGGACGCCTTCGTAATCAGTGCATGTCCATTGTCATTACTTGCGGGCGAGCTACATTGGATGCAAGTCTTCTAGCGCTACAGTTAGATGTTTGTATGTACTATATTCCTTATGCAGACAGCACGTCATATGCATGATGAGTTTTCTGCAATTGTTTATGAACAAATTTGTTATTGTCTACTACAAGCTGCTTGTAGCTGACTATAAACGGGTTGCCATGGGCGTCATGAATTCGCGTTCGTGCCTTTAAGCAAATCATTTTGCTTACTACTATTCTCCTACACATGCTCATGAGAACTTGTACTCACTACTGGTTCTTGATTCTTGCATGTAAATTGACTAATGAAATATGATATGTTACTTTAATTTCATCATATATAGGCAACATACACATGCATTGTTCATTGCTCGTTTTTGCTTGTTCATTGATGTTCATTTGAATGATTAAGACTATTATTCATCATTTATATTTTTGTTATGACAGTGCATTCAATAATTAGAAGTCCGGTTCCTTGTGAGCTTGATTACAAGTTCGGTTCCCTACTGTCTTGTTCAATTCCCCTACCTTTGTTCAAGTTTTGGTCCCTTGTTTACTAAAAATTTTGGCAGCCTCTCGTTTAGGGGAATATTCAGAGAAAGATGTGTATGGTCGGTGTTGGACGACATCGCGACTATGGTATTCGATCACATCACACTAGAGAAAGGCTTGTATGGATCTTCAGGTGTACCTGTTCGAAAATGCAATTTCCCCCGCCACACTGAGAAAAGCGTGCACGAGGCTCACCCGCTTAGCCACAAGTGTTGCACCGGGTTTTCTCCCCACCATGCTAGAGAAAAGCATGCATAAGAGGCCCCTCGGTGCGTCAAAAGCTTTGAATGCAGGATTTTGGAGGTTTTGAGTTTGAACATTATACCATTGTGAATGAAGTGGTGACGGTGCCGGCGTTGAGGGCAGTGAATATGCTCAAAAATTCATTTTTCATTCATACATTCATTTTTTCATTCTTTTTTCATCTTTCATTATATATATATATAATCATTTTTTTTATATATGTATATATACATACATTTATTTATAATAATAATAATAATAATAATAATGGAAATAATAATAAATAGCTAATAATGATGACATAGGGTAAAAGATTACAAGCAACATTTAGGATTTTCACCTGTTGGGGTTGTCTTGGTGTTGGGTTTAGTGAAATGATGCAGTGTAGGAAATATGGGTTGATTTAGTGAAGTGGAGGTTTAGTTGGCTGTAGGTGACTGATTTGGGCTAGTGAGATGATAGTCTTTGAATAGGAATGGGCTGAAAGAGTGGAAAAGATAGTGGGTTGCAGTGGATTATTTTTGAGGCAAAAGTATTTGTCGGCTAACGGGCTGCCGTTTGGGTTAAGAAGTAATGAGCTCATGTAGCGTAGGAGTAGAGTTTTGGAAGGGGCTATTTGCTGTTATGGGCTGGTGTGTGCGGGGGCTGAATGCTAGAGTCGGATCAGGCTTGGCTCGTGCGTGAGGAGTTGTATAGGGTTTGTTAAAAAAACAGGGAAGGTGTAGATCTGGAATCGGAACACACAGATGCTAGGCGCCGGTCATCGACCTGCTCGTAGGGGGTGCACTCGATTTGGGCTCTGTGGAGTGGATCGAAAGCAACGGAAGGCGTCGATTGTAGCTGGGTCGGAGGAGGGAAGCAATTGACGGCTCTTGTAGGATCATATTGGATCTGTGGATCAGAGTGGGAGTTGAGCTATTGGATCGTGGGTGGATCAGTTTGAGATTGCGGAGAAAGAGATTCAAACAGTGAAGTATGGAGACGGAGCAGTTGCTTTGAGTCTCGGCTGTGAGGAAGAATCGGGCGACTGCAGGGATCATAAATACGGGAGAGAAGACATTCGTGACTGCTTGTGCATCCAAGGAAACGAAAGTTTCGTTTTGTTGGCATTTTAACGATGGGACTGAGCAGTGATCGAGACGAGGGATTTAAGCAAACAGTAGACCTAAGGTGGATAGAAGTTGTTCAAAATATTTTGTAAAATATAGGTTTAATATCTTAAACAATACTCAATAGAAATGAATTAAAAAAGAGGATTCATAAAATTATAATAGTTGGGATCAACGTAATGATAATAATGATAATGACAGATGTGGAGAATTAGAAAAAAAGATAGGCGGGGAATTAGACAATACTTAATACTGTTGCACAGAATCTTAAAAAAAAAAATATAGAAGCATGGGAAAATATTTAAGAAAGTGTAAATGAATTTACCAAGAAAAAGAAGAAGAAGAAAGAGATCCTATGTACTCTTGGCCGCCTTTAGCATTCTCCTTAAAGGTGTTGTTGTAAGGGTCATAGAATCAAACTAATTATGCCATTTAATTATGGGAACTGGAATGATACCGATTTCTATGGTTCCTGTGCGGTTTTCTAAAGCCTACTGAATTCTTATATATTAACCGGACATCTTCTTAAATCTAGAAACCATGATGCATGATTGATACTTTTTGTTATGTATCTTACTAGCTATTGAATTTTTTCCTTATGCCTGCTCAGCGATAAGATGCGTCAAGTTTTTTTTTTTTTCATCCATCTTCATGACTCATTGGTTATTTCATTATTGATTAGGTTAATTAGAGGAATGTGAGAGGGAAACACAACAACAACAATAAAAACAACAACAACAACATCAAGCCTTTATCCCACTACCATGGGGCGGCTACATGAATCCTTTTTTTCCATTGTGTTCTGTTATAAGTCAAAATTTTATTTAGATCTAATAGAAAAAGGTCATTTCTAACTTTTTCTAACTAAGTTTTTTTAGGTCTACAATACATTTACTCTCCTAATCGGTTCATCGGAAGGCCGCCATTTTATGTTACCAAACCATCTATAAGGCGACTCTCTATAATCTTATCTTCCACTGGAGCTACTCCAACCTTTTCATGTATATGCTCGTTTCGTATCCTGTCTCTTAGAGTAAAGCCACTCATCCACTTGAGCATCCTCATCTCTGTGACACTTAACTTAATATGATGCTTCTCTTTTAATGGCCAACATTCTGCATCATAAACCATTGCAGTTCTCACTATCATCTTATATAATTTTCTCTTAAGTTTGAGGGGGACTTTTCCATCACACAACATGCCCTATGCATTCCTCCACTTCAACCATCCAACTTGAATTATACTAATAATATCCCCATCTATTTCACCATCACTCTGACAAGAGACCGAAGATATCTAAAACATGATATTTTGGGATTGAATTCGTCATATATGAATAATCGGGGGATTATTTTGAAGTTTACCCCCTTTTTTTAAAGTTTACCTCTTTAATATTCAGTCTACTCAAAAATGTTTTTTATGCTGATGGCAGTGGGAAGTTTCATATTACTAAATAATGCAAAAGAAAAAGGGGGATACTGGTTTTAGAATGATAGAAAAATACAAGAAAAGATAACCCAGAATACTTTTTTTGGCCCGCTTGAGCATTCTCTTTAAAGGGTCATAGTTGTTTTGCCATTTAATTGTAAGAGCTGGAGTGATATGGTTTCGGCCAATTGAAGGAGCTCTAATGCCTATTGAATTCTGATGTGTGAACCTGTTAGTCTTCATGAATATGCTAAGTATAACTCATGACTGATAGCTATGTAATAATTCTAGCATCCTGTCCAACCTTTAGTGAAAGATATTGTACCCCTAAAACTGTCTGTATTAGATGAACTATTTCATGTTTTCTTATGCATGGATTGCCAAAAAAAATTTACAAATGTTTTGAGAGAACTTAACAATATGAAAATGATTATGATGTTTAGCTAGAAACTTGTTTGTTCCTTTTTAATGCATCAACTTATAACATGAGTTCTCGTAGACTTGTTCTCCTTTTTAATGTCTACTTTCATGAATAATGTTTTTGTAGTACTCAGTTATAGGAGACATTGTACTGTCAACTTTTTTCTTGCTTTGTTACCTTTGATAGCATGTCTTAAATATTTCCGTTGCACTTTTTGTGATCCCTTTTTTACTTTCTTAGTTTTTTCACTGTATTCCATTCCTACTTGCTGTGACATTGAGTTTGCTGTATTTCAAAAGCTTATATTACTGCAGAGTCATGCTACACCTCCTTGAAAAAACTTCCCGAAGGATTCTGATTGGCAAAGTGGAGGGTGGGTGGGTTGGTGCAGTCTCCACTTTCCTACTTCTGCCCCCACCTTACACATAAATTTTTGGGAGGCTATTTATAAGTTTTTTTAGTACTCAAATCATTTCTAATTATTGCTTTATGCAAACTCAAGGTAATTCATTGCGTGCCTTTATCAATCCCTTTGGTTTGGTTCTCCAGGCTCCATTTGATGCATCTTCGTTGGACAATATGAGAAGGTTGGCTGAGCATTCTGGTGTTCCTGGGCACTTTTATCCGCTTGCATTGCTATGTTATGGTGTCATGCCTCCACCAGCACAGGTGGGCTTTTTGTTGGGACTTGAAGTGCTAGTTTATGTACTAAAGGTTAAAAAATGATAGTCTGGTTTGGATTATTGAATTCCTCTCTTTGTGGTATGAATGCTATTCGATATAGCTGTTAGCATTCTTCACATATCTGAGAATCTGGTTAACCGGAATTAGACTTGCAACTACTTTTTACAGTTTCTTAGACCTTAACCTCAAGTCTTTCTATTTGTTTCACTCGAATTACTCTTGTTGTTTTCAATTTTCTTTGATTCATAGGTGGCAAAGGAGATTGGTGAGCAAAGAAAGCTGTCACACCACGGTGTTGGCTTATCTATTTCCAAAGAAATAAATTTCAATGAAGTTACTGCTCATTGTGAAAGCAAAGATGAGGTAAATTTAAAGTTATAGCAGATTTCGGTAGTTGGTAAATTTTACTGTTTACACTGCTTAAATTTTAATGCCAATACTCACTGAAATTTAAATTCTATTATATCTTCAGTTTTATTTCATTCGTCAACATAATACTTGTTTGGAAGGCTGTTGGTGGACGTGAAGATTTTTTTGTTTTCCCCATCATCAATCTAATCACTAACCAAGGTTTAAAACTGCGCAATTGGGTAATGAGGCGTTTTTCTTTTCGGAGGCGAAGAGTAAACCTCAAAACCCAAAAATTTCTTAAAGTAAAAATAAAGGTTAAAAGTGATTTTTTATATAATACCAAGGTTTAAAATTGCGCAATTCGGTATTGAGGCATTTTTCATTCGTAAGGCGAGGCGTAAGCTTCAAAATCTAAAAATTGTGTAAAGTAAAAAAAAAATAAAAGTGATTTTTATATGATACCCAAATAATATGTTAAAGGATTACATATTAACTTTCTATTGAACTATGAAATAGCAAATTTACATACATATGAAACAAAAAATTGCACAAGATGTAAAGTTGTGAGTAATAAATTATGTGAAATATGATTGAAATCCAAATATTATAGGAGAAAAATAAAATAAAATATATGAATTGCATAAATGTATCATATATCATCAAGTTTAGCTCTAAATTCTTCTTTTTCAGTTCCCTACTCATCTATATTTAATTAAAAAATAAATTTGATATAATTATCAGTAACTCAAAAGTCATCTTTATTGTCATTACTAAGGGGATTTTTATTTAAGTCGTTGTCATAATAAATTTGATCTTTCCCTTGCCTCATCCTGTAGGGTCCAATACCTCCAAATCTGCTTCTTTTTCATCTATTTCAGCAATCTCCCTCTTTTATAAATATTTTTCATCAATATAAAGATAAGATCAACAATATATAAAGTTTTAGAGGAGATGGTGGTGACGTGCGGATTTCAAGTGATCCCCGGCTGTGGCTACGACGGTGGTGACTACGATGAAGGTGGTGGGCTGGAGTTCGAGATTGTTGGGAGGAAGTTGTTGCAGCTTGGGAGTGCAAGAAATGATTTTTTGGGGGGCTTTTGTATATGATTTAGCTATGTTTTAAATAAAAAAAAACATGCATAAATAGAGCAGGGCATATGTCTCATGCCAGTAAGGTGAGGCGCGCCTCAAGGCGGGCCTCAGTCAAGATAAGGTGTAAGCCTCATAAAAAAAGCTCAAGGCGTAAGCTTCGAGGCATTTTTCACTGGAATTGGCTGAGGCGGGCCTCAAGGCGAGCCTCATATTTTGCAATTTTAAACAATGTCACTAACTAGGGCACATGCGATAAAGGGTGTACTGAATGTAATCTTATTGAAAAACCTTCAGAACTGTTAATCCCTTTGTGCATCCTACTTTTCTGTCCTGTCCAAATTAAAAAAAATTCATGTTTTCTTGTTGGCTAGTTGGATCCTATGCACTGAAGCATAGATATTTCAAAATGCTTTCGTGTTCGTGTTGGGCTCGACACATCTCTAACATGCCCTGACATGGAGTCGAAAATGTATTGGACGTGCTTCAAGTTAAAATCAGAGTTTAACACAAGCTGAACACGACCCAACATAGAGGGGCCATGCTTAGGACTTGAGAAACATATTTAGGTTTTTAAAATTAAATCTTGTTCTAGGTAAAACCACTTGCACACTTTGCCTCTTTGCAGCCCTAGCGACATCTTCATGCAAATCGCTTGGAGTCTTACCGTCAATCCTCTATGCAGCAGCACAAGTGCCTTTGTCGATCCGCTTCATCATGATGGAGCCTGCCTTCATTGATATTCTTCATATCTCATTGATCCTCTTTGAAACAATGCAAGCTCTCTTCATCGATCTTCTTTAAATTGTCACAAGTTTAATTTTGTCCATCCTCTTAGCAACGGCTTAGGCTTGAATGTGTCTGTTTGTGGCCCTTTCTTGTTTGCTTCTTTGTACCAGCTTCACACCCTTCAACTTACCATCTCCACTACATCTTTGCATCAACTTCGCAGGCTTGCAACTTTCGCAATCACCAAAACCCTAGATCCTCTTGGTTTCTACTCACAATCATAGTATTCAAATCTTCCTAACTCTTTTCTAAAGAAGTATTTTTCCTTTTTTTTTAATTAAACTAGAAATTATTATATCTTTCTGTTTTTTATTATGATATTTTAGAATTTCTTCAAGAATATTGATGTTAATTTTTAATACTAATAATGAGATATAAGATTCTATTCTTTGGTGAGCTACTGATCTTATGCTCTTTATATTATATAATTGGTAAATGACTTTCGAATAGTCAATCCTGCATTTGCTAATAATCATATAGAGGATGATAATAAGCTTTTGTGAAAATATGTTACCAACAACAACAATAACTAATAGAACAACAAGAATTTATCCTACTATATAGGGTTGACTACCGGAATCCTTTTTCTTCATTGGGTCCTATTAGGAGTCAAATTCTCCTTTGTGTTCTATTAATAGCCAAATTGGAGAAAATAGGAGCAATATAAGCACGAGGACAGATAAAATTTAAGAGGAGTTTTGTCAAGGAAAGTATGATGGATTATATTCTAGTGGTAGCTTTCTTAGTTAATCTGTGGGAGGCTTCTGCTCATGCTAAAAAATAACATCAATACAACTTGAAGAATTACAAAATTAGTTGCAGTGGCTGAGCAAAGAAGAAGAATGCCTTATTTAAGTAGGTTCTCTTTCTTTTTTCTGGGAAAAGTAGTTCTCATCTAGTGAATCAACATTTTATCTCACAATAAAATGAAAATTTTTCTAGGGTGGAGGGTTATAATCCAAAAAGATGAAATTCGGACTGAAGACAACCATTAAAAGATCATTTAATTTGGAAACTATAGATCAATTGCATCAAGAATTTGCTTTCATATTCTATTCAACCTGCTTTCCAATTCCTTCAGCATGAAATCTATATTATTTTAATACATTTTTCTTATTCAGCCAATGGCACTCTCACTGAATGTATTTCCCTTAGATTATAATTTTTTTGAGGACAAAATTTTCTTGGAAGAAAATAACTAATGTTTAAAGAATGCTGGAATCTGCTTGAGCCAATTAAAGAAACTTGGAATGAAAGGGCTTAATAATGTTAGCGATTGTTGGACTAATGCCTAAAGAACTCCTCTTATTAATTTTTGAGAGTTGCAAAATTTAAATCTATGCTTATAAAAACCATTAGTTGTGAAGGAGTATATTGTTCTAAATTTTATGTTGCAAATCTTATAAATTAAGTAATTATGTGGGTTGATTCAGATAAAGTGGTTCTAGTAATCATAAATGATGCATTAATATGTAGAGTGGTAAGAGCATTAATTAAGACCTAATGCTATCATATTTTTTTAGTTTCTGTTCTTCACTCATTGTATCTTGCATAAAAGAATATTTGTGGAGACCTAATACTCTAAATTTTATTTTTCCAAGAAAAAATATGGAGATATTTAATGAGATGAGCAAATGTTTGTAGATACTTCTTCCAAATATTGAAGAGAGCAATTGTTACTTAGGAGTTTACTAACTTGTTTGAACTTAGTGGTTGTTTTGTTGGTCATGATGTTAGAGCTTCTATAGGCACTAGAGATGCAAATGATTTTGGATGATTTATGGCACTGGCTCCCATCAACTACAAATTTTGTTTATAAATAATTAGCACAATTATGTTCCTTGTTTAGAAAGAAGTTGGAGTATATATATATATATATATATATATATATAAATTCACTCAAGAGGAACAATCTCACTCTTAACGAATTGTAGATTTGCTATATTTGCATACCAATCTTAGCTTTTTATCTAGGAGCCCAAAATATACTTGAGGAGAGACAAAGCTCTTGGATATTGGTGGGGTGGGATAAATTAACCATAATGGATGACATCAAAATACTTGAAGTTCCTAATCTGTCGTTTGATGAGCTAGCTTGGAAAGCTATGCTTTTTTTTAGAGGAAGGTGAATGCACCATTGAGGAGCGCACAAGTGCTAGTGATAATGATGGCCTTAGCATTGAGTGCATTAACTTCAATTAATTTTATGTTACCTATATAGTCATATAATCATAATTTTTTTAATTATTTTGAAGAAAATATTGATTTTACTTTATAATTGTTAAATCACAGTCGTCCCTTGGCATTTTGATCCCATGGTTAGGATGGGAATCTATGGGAGGCTCACATATTAAATACTATCCATGTGAAATCATCTAATCATAATTTTTTTTAATTATTTTGAAGAAAATATTGATTTTACTTTATAATTGTTAAATCACAGTCGTCCCTTGGCATTTTGATCCCATGGTTAGGATGGGAATCTATGGGAGGCTCACCTATTAAATCCTAGTTGACCCTTGGCATTTTGATCCCAATGCTAGGATGAGAATCCTTGGGAGGCTCCCCTGGATCACACTGATCTCCTTCCATATTTAGGTGGCTGATTTAGGAAGGATTATATTAGAGCAATTATGCATGATTTTATAATTATTTGTTTCCTTATTAAGATATCTTGTCTAGATCTATAAATAGGGATAAAATTGTGCAAGAAAATTAAGCATTTTCTCTCTCATAACATGGTATCAAAGCTTTCAATGCCTTTGCCAGAAATCTGAGATTTTTTGATAGGAAACACTTGTAGATCTCATGAATTTCCTATTAATCTTTGGAAAGCAGCGAGAATTCTCCATAAAAATCCATACAAACCAGGAAAAGTGGATAATTTGTTTTATTTATGAAATGGAAATGGAAAATACCAAGATATAATTGATCCTCTATTCGAGAGTAGGATATTTCTCTCCCAAATTTTTAGACGCCGCCAGAGCCCAAAACATATGAGATCTCAAATTTCAGCCAAATTCAAGATGCACTTACCATAGAAAAACAAACTCTTTTATGCATACAATTCAAAAGGAAATCTTTAAACAATCCCTATATTCAAATTTCCCTACTAACTCCCTTCAAAATCCTTC